AAAATAATGTACAATAATCATAAAACATCAGCAATTATAGTTCACTGTAATATAAATGTCAATGCAATATAAGTATAGGTAATCACACAGGAAGGAGTGCAATTAATTATAACACTACGAGTAATATTTGAGGGCCCTGAAGGGGTAAAATGGGAACTGGAATTGATCTAATTTTAGACTGGGAAAATGGGATTTGGGTTGCTGGGACTGGGATTTGGCCACTGGGAATGGGAAATGAAGTCCTCAAAAATGGGAATGGGATTGAGGTAATGCGAGTCGATTCCCAACTTTTCTACATTTTAAGTGTTTTAAAATACAATTTTGATCCGTTTTCGGTGTCTTTGGTCATGATTTTTGTTGTTAATTTGTGATTTTTGTATATTATTCACAGCACTACCTGCGAACAGGCACACTCTGGCGCCCGGAATTCCGGGTTTTCTGATTATGCGTGTCTTAGAATGCTGCAAATGCCATTTCCGGGATTCAAATTTAAAAAATTTCTGTGCCTTCGCCACCAACCTCCCCCCCCCATATTTCATCATTTCATAATTTCATTGCACACACGGTGGCTTAAAAGGTCTCAAAACTGTTTATTCTATACCGATAAATAAAAGGTTTTTTATTGACTGGGAGTTCAATAACTCGGACTGGGATTTCTAATAAAAATCCAACTGGAACTGGGATTTTGCCAAAATTTCAGGTGGGAAATGGGATTGGGACCCCCCCCCCCCTTCAGTACCCTCATATTTGAAAAATGTGCCAAAATTGCACAAGCTGTTAATTAATTGCACGACTTGCCCGAGTGATTATTTATTTTATGCATAGCATGATGAAATTCAATAAAATTCAACTTATTTTGTCAAGAATTTTTAATTCTTTTGTAAGCAATTTGGCATAAACAAACTTGGAAAATGATCATAAACTCATAAAGGCACATAATTTAAAATAGGACAAATGATTCAAACAACATATGAAATTATTAAGAAAATCTTTATAAATTGTATTTATACAGACTTACATAGTCACGTTTCGCTGCATCTCGTCGAGATTATTTCTTAAAACTGTTTCCAGGTATTCTCCACAGGCTCTTTTTGTCATACTATATTTTTTAAATTCATTTTTGTGCCAAAATTTAGTTCAATTGAATTCGTCCCTGTGGTTTTTATACAAGGTGCGTGTATTAAAAAAAAAGGTAATCGAACTTCAACGCGCTAATGTATTCGAATTACTCTGCGTATGAACGAGATTTTAACACATTCGGAAAGATCATGCTTTTAGCTGTTGAATGATATCTTCTTCATGCCAAATGGATAAAAAATGAGCAAATACGAATCCGATAAAAAATGTTAGTCAGAATCGCATATTTTCACCGTTGAGATTGGGTCTAAAACCATTGAAAATAAACTCCCTTTGGTACTCAAGTTGATGAATTTCACTTCATTAAACTACGCACATATTCATAATTATTATTAAGTAGGAATAAATCTTAGCTAAGCTACGACACGCGTTAGTGATTAATTGCTTTTTCTTTTGTTATGCATTGTTTTAATTAGGCACAGAGGTGAAAATATGCGATTTTGACTAACATTTTTGATCGGCCTAGTACATGCTTATTTCTAAATAGCTAAAAGCCTGATCTTTCTAAATATGAAAACCAATTGTTCATACACCGAGTGATTCACGTATAATAGCGCGCTGAAGTTCGACTACATTTTTTTTATACACCCTGTACAAGATAAAGATAAATTTCCCCGCCATATTGGACTTGTTGTTTTGATTTCTCGCTCCCCCCAGCCATCGAAAATCATTAATTGCACCACAGTGGCCCAAGGTGTCGTTTGCGAGATTGGGCCGCCTGTGATCTTAGTATATGTTTGGAATGCAAGTTCAATCACAGGGGAAGAAGGAGGGGGGAAGGGCTATGAAAATTTATTATATTTGACTGCCCCCTTAACTTTCTACATAAAGCCTGCAAAGCATATACATCGATAATGAACCGCAAAACTCAAAGTTATAAACAGTTTGAACTTCGTGGCCCAGTGCATTTTTTACGGATTGAGTGGCGGGGCAAAACTGCCGAAGGGCCCATTTTCCTTGTCCTCCCCCCAGGATAGTATGCGATCGTCGAATGTGTGAGCCGATTACCGCATGCCCCCCAGAAAATTTTTAAAATTTGGGTCTCTGAAATGGCATTTCCTACATTCTGAGAACACATTTTAAAAAATCTCAGGTTCTCAAACGTTTGCTCACCAACAAATCTTGTTCTTGAAACCTCCGTTAAATGTTAAACTCATTTACTCAATACAGTTCCTATGTCTCTATAGCTTTGGGACAATAGGCCATTTTTTTCTTCAGTGGTGGGGCAGAGGAAGAGGCCCAGTTGGGCAAATGCCCCACCAGTCCATAGTATTAAAAAATGCATTGTTGTGACCATGTGACATAAAACAGGCAAGTTTACTTCAGCTTTTTTCGGTGTAATTTTGAATACGCGTGTAAGTGAGGACTATAATTCGACAGTTCTCAAAAGAGCAATTGCATTTCTGTGAAGAATTTAAAATATTGTTTATGTCTACTATTTATTTTGACGCGAGATTGCGTTTGCATTTAAGGTCACAGGACACCCTTTTTGTCGTTTTGCGGAAAATCGCTACTGCGCGCTCAATATCAGTTCGATTTTCATCAAATTTTTACCAGATGTTCTCCAGTGCATATAAAATATGGCAAAGTTGTAAAATTAACAAACAATAAAATAATGTAAGAATTATTCAGGAAAATCTTAAATCGCGGTACTGTTACGCTTATGAGTTGTGCTCCTTCTGGTTTTAAGTTATATTTATGAAAATATCATTTTTTATAGTAAAATATAATAGTTGTTCTAAAAAATTGTGTTCGGAAATTTTTGTTTATTTCGTCATTCCGCTGATATGGCGATTTCTTTGACGACTGCAATATATTTCTGAATTGTTTGAGTGAATTGCTCTTTATTTTTAAAATATCCAAAATTTAAAAAAAGCCGAACAACATTTTGAAACTGACGTATTTAACTATGTCCTGTGAAAATTTGACAAAAATTGGTTAAAACCCGCAGGAGCACAACTCGTTTGAAAATCAGTAATTACCGTAAAATTTTTCGTGAGAAAATTGAATTTGAATATTACTTTTTCAATGTTTTTCGTATTGCAGCGAAATGTATTTTATTGAATAACTCTGCGAGTTTTCACATTTTTCGTTCAAACTTGGTCAGATAGTAGAACTAGTCTAATGCTGTCACGAAAACCATTAAAAAATTTTAGGCAAAATTAACACTCAAAGGTGTTCTGTATGGTTAAAAAGACGAAACCAGACGAAACGGAGTGAACGAGGTCGAGGCCTTAAGTATATTAAACAAGTGCTTTTCAATCCGGTCTTGCAGATCGTAAATAAGATACCCCCAGCACAGCATGCGCAATTGTCAAATATACAAATAATGAATGCACAGCATACGAGTGCTGTGTCTATATGGTGAAAATATTTTCATGAAGTGACAGCCGAGTGAAATCACTGCACGGTGGGGAAAAAAGACAGCAAATGGGTCCAAGTTGTTATAACTTGCTGTTTTTAGTTTGGAATATCACGAAACTTCCTCACAGGATAGAACTTGCCATTCCTAAAAATCGTTTCTGTTTTTCGATTTTGTAAAATTTTGGCGGGAAAATGACGTGTCAACTTTGGCGCCATAAAATTAAACACGAGCTAAGAACATGCTAGTAACGGTTTTGAAGAGATTGTCCTATAAGGATCTCAAAACTGTAAAAACACTGAAAATACGCCAAAGCAGTGCAAAGATATGGTGCTTAAAAGTCTGAAAATCCGCCATTTTGTTACTAAAATAGATTTTTTTCGAACTTTGGATCGCCATATCTTCCCACTTCCTTGTTGTATTTTCAATGTTTTTACAGTTTTGAGATCCTTATAGGACATTCTCTTCAAAACAGTTACTAGCATGTTCTGAGCTCGTGTTTAATTTTTTGGTGCCAAAGTTGGCACGTCATTTTCCAGCCAAAATGTAACAAAATCGAAAAACAAAAACTATACGATTTTTAGGAATGGCAAGTTCTATGCTGTTAGGAAGTTTCGTGATATTTCAAACTAAGGTCAGAAAGTTAAAACTACTTGGCCCAATTTGCTGTCTTTTTTCCAACCGTGAATGGAAAATTCCATCTTTCGCCGAATGAAACTATTTTCACTATATTGCACAAATAAAAACATTCATTGCACATATTGCAGAAATTCAAACATTCGTGACACTAAAATGCTGAAAATATGTACCTTATTCGAACATAATTAAAAGGCAACAAAATTAATATTTTAGTGAGAGTTAAAACAGTATATATTAACAGTGTTTTCATTGTGTATTTCATTGTATCAATCGGATCAGTCATTCATTACATCAAACGCGATCACATTGAATAATCTAATAATCAGACTTTTTAAATTTTTGACACTAATTTGGTTAGTGTTGGAGATAGATGCGTGCAACTGTATATTAATATAGATTATTGAAGATAATTATATTCAATAGATGATAATTATATGATAATTGACAACTGCATGTATATAAATCCTATTTTCAGCGACAAAGCGAGGAATGAAAACGCACTCGTGGGACACAAAAATTGTGAAAAAGGATGGTAATGAAATGACACAAAATTTACAAATAGAGATTCCTGTTGTCGCTGCTGTTGGAAGGTATGTCATAATTACGGAGCTTGTAGTATTAATATTCTTTGTTGGTATAATAGATACAAGTACAATTAAGTTCGAAAAATAATGCGGACGCTCCGAAAACTTTATGTTTAACATTTCACCGTTTTCCTGCACTTGCTCCGGTTTCGTCCCGCAGGGAATGTTGGCAGGTTGGGTTGAGAATAGCCCCTACCTATAATGCCCCACCGTTGCTGTGCTCCGTAATCAGATATGAGTCGTAAGGTGGCATCGAGTCGATCAAGTTGAGCTACGTCCTTCGTAATTCAGCTCAAAAAAGAAATTTCACATGCATTCCTGCTCGGCTGTCATTTCTAATGTTTCTACTTAGATTGGTCCTCTAGTGGTTAATCTTTTTCATCCCCGAGTAAAGTATCTCAATATATACTGTAGCTACTGGTACTTAATTTATTGCATTGACGTCTCATACCATAGACGGGTAATTTTTCTCTTGACAAATCGTATTTGCTCGTCTTGCGTGTGCTGCAAAAAATTACTTTTTTGCTTGCTTTTGTAAAGCCCTTTGTCAGGTCATGCCAGCTTTTGGTCAAGGAAAATTTGTTTCGTGTCCGCTTAGGAATTCTTACAAATTTTACGAATTTTCCATATTTGACAAGTACACAAAAAATACGTCTATGGTTTAATTGGTTTTGACAAACAAAAAGCGACCTTATAGTAAGATAAAAATTTATTTAACATCATTCCCAACAAAATTGTAAAGGGAAACTTCTCAAGAAAAACTTGTTGACCGTACAAACGAAATTAGAAAGTAAACGTTTCAAGGAAACGTGCCAAAAAAAACTTGCTTGTCTTTACCGGGCTTATATTTGTTAGCCTCTCAACCAATTTGTGGCTTTTCATGTCAGGTGTTTCTTGCATGCAATATATACTTCATGGAAACATCAGCTCCATTTCAGCGGGTGCATGTGTATGCGAGGACTTATCAAAGCCATGACCACTTGACGTTGTTGTCATCTGCAAATATTTAAACCATTTAAATAGCTGCAATTATATTTAACTGCTTTTTAACTGCTTAAATTTCTAGATACACAATAAAAGTTGTTCTTCCTAAAAATTCCACTCATCCATTAAAACAGTCTGGACAAATCATCGTTTTGTTTAATGCTTGGAACAAAGGTAAAAATTTCATAAACTCTCTCACCCAAGACCAACAGGGACCACTGCACTCCAAATTAGTCTTTAGTTTCCCGTCCTAACATACATGAACTTTTGGTTAGAGCTCGACAAATTTCTCTCTGTAGCTCAGTTGGTTAGACCGCTGCACCAGAATTGCGGGGCCGCAGGAGGGATTCCTGCCGGAGGGCCAATCATTTTTTCAACTGCTCCTGGTTTGGTTTAATAAATGTATAACAATTTCATGATCACTCGAAATTTCCACCTACAGATCCCTTCAACAATTATAGTTATATCAAGTGAGATGCCCAAAATTATACGGAAATTCATATCTTATTTCAAGTGCAAAAATATGTATGTGGAATTGGAACATTTCGCATGTGAAGACGCCCATTTCGTATTCGAAATTTAGAATTTTAACATATGAAGTTTAAGTTTCATATTATTTTTCACCATGTAGTATAACTAGAGGTTTATAAGTGGAAATTTATTCATGCGAAATTATTATTTCTTTTGTGGAATTGAAATACTTAACATGTGAAAATATATTTTCCAATGGCATGTGCAAACTGATATTTTCGTAAGGATCCATAAATACTTGTAGTACTCGCGCATTCAGTATTGCGTGTACATTCAGTATTGAGTGTACATTCAGTACTCGCGCATTCAGTACTTGTAGTACTCGCGCATTCAGTATTGCCACATGTTTTCATCACAATAAACAGAGCCATCGAACCAAGTGTTTTTCTTACCAAAACAAACAATTAATGCATGCATGCATGCATGCAAAGTAACCAACATTTATAACAAAAACGCCAAGTTGATAACAAAAACGACGGGCTAGATAATTTTTCATATCTTGCGAAAACAGAAATCAATAATTGTTTTATAATATTTATTTAAAAGATGAAAAAGTCATTTGCTCCTGTGGGTTCGCAATAATGACCACATCTTTTTTCCATTTGCAGAAAATATTTTCTTTGTTTTTTTCACAAGTACAGGTACATTAAGACGTTTCAAAACCTTTCGCGCACAGCTGTTTTGTTAATATTTAATGTTATTTATATTTTAGAACTTGTTTTTCTAAATCATGCGTTGTCATGCATATTGTTTTGGTCGTGTTTCCACATTTTGTATTTATATTTCTACAGCTTGATGTCATAACATTGACTGTACGATTTTTTCATTTTCAACGTGACGACGTCGCATCGTTGAATATAATGTAGAAACTGATATCTGCTCAGCTATTGAATGTTAGGACGATTTTACCATTTTTAAATATTAAATAATAAAGACAGTTAATATAGTTGGAATTATATTTATCCACGGATACTCATCCGCATCATTACAGCAACGCGCACTGTATGTCAGCAACAAATTACCTATTCTCTTTCTTATGTTGTTTGTGAGTTATGTTTTGGTATTTCTTTGTATCCAGATGATGAAGTTTATCTTGCTGAGGAAAATATGAGAAATGAATATGTTCTCAACGATGATGGTGTGATTTATGCAGGCTGGTCGCGGAGAAGAGGTCCAAATCCAGCCCGCTGGAACTTCGGTCAAGTATGCTAAACAAAATACTACTATATCCAAGCATCGTGCACTGAAATATCAACCCAACCTCGTACCCGTGCAGTGTATTATTTCTCAAGAGTCTGCTTAGCGTGGGCAGGAAAGACCCTAGGGCTTTCTTGAGTGTGTGTATGTGTGTACAGGGGAGAGATCTTTTCTTCTTCGCACCACCCAGCGGGCAAAATGACATTTATTCAACGTTGAATCAACGTTGGAAATGACCTTCTAGACGTTGGATAGTCGTTGAAAAAGGATTGATAATGCAAATTGGATCGACGTTACTGTTTCGACGTTGAAACAACGTTGAAATTAGGTTGCCAATCTCGTCAACAATAATTCAACGTTGAATCAACGTTGAGATTACTTCACAAATCGACGTCGTACATTTAACCATGAATGAACGTTGATTCAACGTCTGTTGGTTGCTGTTGAACCAATGTTTTTAAAACAACGTCAGAGCAACGTAGATATTAGGTTGTCGACGTCGCAACCTTTTTTCTACCAAATTTCAACGTTGAAACAACGTTGTGTGCCCGGTGGGCAGCGGCAAGGTAGCCCCCAATTATTGTGCTAATTTTGTCCGCCCAAGGCGAAGATGATTTTAAAGTGCAAAATACAGAGTTATCTGCTATAAATTAATTTTAAAAACTCATTAATAATTCAGGAAGAAAACACAAAGAAAAAATCATAAGCGTGTCGTATCTTTATATGTGATTAAATATCATGTTAATTTACATAAACTTTAGCTTTGATTTTCTTGGTTTAGACAAAGTTTATTTTAAAAATTACTTCGCCAATGAACTCATATAAGATGAGTCTTTTTTAAGCCATTTAAAGCACTCCTACGCTTGCTTTAAATAGTACATAATGTGTTTCAATACTGGGGCCGATTGTATAAAAAAGTTATCAAAAATTAACTATGATTAAGTGCAAACGTCATCCAATAAGAAGCGCCAATTTGAGAGTTAATCACTGTTTAACTACAAAATAGTGATTAAAAATGTGATTAAGAAAAGTGATTATATACAACCGGCCCCTGGAGTTTAAATGTTAATTGCTAGGTTCATCTGTCAATTTTGATAAAAATTACACTGTCTGTAAAGCGAGAATTTGTTATATAGATGGTTGCTTTGATCGCATGCTTTAACTAATCGATTTTGCACAAGAACTCCGTGTTCACAGCGAAGGGAATGGATGTTTAGATGCGGGTTCATCATTTCTGCATGATTATTTTATTCAAATACTGGAAAAATCTGAGAGCGAGGTTTGAAAGCACTCGTTGTTTGAAAGTGGTTGTAAAATCTAAATAAAATTAATTTATTGAAAACGAAGTCAGAATAATATTTCCATTTTAAATCGCTGACGTCAGTATTTGTTTTTTTCGGATCTTTCCAGGCATACTGTACGTACCACTGCAGGAAATTACGATTGCAATTTATATTGCCAATTTCATCTGGCCTACAATTATTGTAGACCATACTAATTTTGAACCACAATTTCAATGTTGATTTTTTCTAATATGATGCTGACAATTGACATGCATCGGTGTTTAAAGATGACCCACAAATTTCCCCTGTGAAATGGTTGGCCATCATTTTTCGGCCAACAAGGCTGCTTTTTCGTAGCGAAATTTGTCATTCGTAGGCAGTTAATTTACACCCTCGATGGGAATAAAGTTTCCCTCGGGAGAAAAGCAAGAGAAGGGAGAAACAAGGAAGAGAGGAACATACAACCTAAATTATAATTCTATAAGGAGATATCTAGCGAACATTATACATGATACTTATTCTATTATAGTTTGAGTCATATATCCTGGACTGTGTGCTGTATCTGTTAGAAAATGATCGACGAATTAAGAAAAAACCTCTCAAATCTCTTTATATGAGAAGCAGTGCTGTGTGGGTGTCCAGAATTCTTTCCGCCATGGTAAGATTATATTTTGCCAAAGTATGATATCACACTTGATTAACGCTTAAATTATTCCACTTTATTATACAGGGTGTCCCCAAAAAAGTGACACTATAGAAATTATCCTATTGTTATAATTTGAATGCCCTAGCACTAAGTTGATCCCACAGGTGCATAAACTTCTGCTTCTGGAAATTAAAATAAAAAAGCAAACCGTTTATTAGTGTAATCGTTTTGCTTCACTCGGGCGTTAAAATATTTAGACAAAGCGAAAACGTTTTAAAATGCTTAAATGTAAATACAAGTTCATTAAATTCCCAGGCGTGTAATCACGCGCGTTTAAGAGCGGCTTAAGAACAATGAAATAATTTCTATAGTGTCACTTTTTTGGGGGGACACCCTGTACAGGGTGTATAAAAAAAAGGAGACCTTTAGAAATCAACCATATTGTTAAAATTTGAATGCCTTTTCAATTGCACATATGCTGAACCGTAGTGCGTGAAATATTGATGGGGTGCATATATTAGAAAAAGGAGACCTTTAGAAATTGAAATAACGTTTAAACAAAAGATTTTCTGCTCCTGGGAACAATCTGTCATGTATGCTGTACGTAGATCGCATGTTACGCACTCGTGGGCTTAGCAAAGTGCTCCAGGATTCAAATTATAACAATGGTTGATTTCTAAAGGTCTCCTTTTTCTAATATACAGGGTGTCTCAAAAAACCCCAAAATCATTGAAATTGACGTATTGTTCGATATTCAATGCCCTAGCACTAAGTTAATCCCACGAGTGCATAAAAGATTGACATAACTGCTATAATGAATGGTAATACTCAGCGTAAACTTGTTATGTCAGGCATAAAGTACTAAACCCACGAATGCATATTACGCATATTACAATTTACGAAGCATTTTTAAATTTCCATGAGCAAACAAACGTTCACTTTACAAAGATATTTTAATTTTTTAAAACAAATTAATCACCCTGTCAAAATCCTTTGTGTTACGGCATTGAAATTCGAACAATATACGTTATTTCAATGATTTTGGTTTTTTTTGAGACACCCTGTACAGGGTGTATAAAAAAAAACGCAACCTCGGAATTTCCTAAGAAATTACTTTGCAATTCTTAAGCATAAAAGATTTTAAGCCCCTGGGAATTGAAATCGAATTGCTAATAGATCTTATTACTGTTGTTGTGCATTAAATAAATGCATAAATTTTGCTTTATGCACTCGCGTGTGCAATAATTTTGACAGTTGTGCTATTTTAAATTCCCAGGCGCCTAAAATCCTTTGTCTTTAAAACCATGTCGATTTCTTGGGAAATTCCGAGGTTGCGTTTTTTTTATACACCCTGTATGCACTCCATCAATATTTCACGCACCACGGTTTAGCATATGTGCAATTGAAAAGGCATTCAAATTTTAACAATATGCTTGATTTCTAAAGGTTTCTTTTTTTTATAAACCCTGTATAAAGTATAGTGCTTTATTACTGTTTAATAAACGAGCAGGAGTGTTTCACCGGGATATCCAATCACGAGAAAACTATGGCTTCTCAAATGAATCGAGACGTAACAGAATGTTTTCGTTTGCTGATTTGAATAGAATTCTTGACCAAGCATACCGTAATTAGGAATTCTATTGAAGTATTTTTGCATGCGTAATTAAGATATTTGATGACTAGTGACTTTCATCAAATATCCGCTTAATTACGTATGCAGCTAAACTCTTGTGGTGCTGTGTCTGACGGTGTTTGATCGCGGTATCCAAACAGCATCTTGTGACGGAATGCTTACATGCTATTGGTTTCATTACTCATGAATTATTAATGAATTTGAGAAAGAGATTTCGAGAGCACTGATATGATAAAAGTGATAATCTCACATAATAATGAGATTATTTATGATAATCTCACATGCGAAAATTATCGCTTTTCTGTAAAAATTATCGCTTCTTAAAGACTGTCTTTTATTTTCTTGGACATACCAGATTTATTTCTCGTGTTGGACATGATCATGTTCAACACGAGAAATAAATCTGGTATTTCCAAGCACCCATCTTGTAAACCACATGTCATTATCAATATAAAACTTGATTTTCCGAAGTCTTTTTTGTACTCAATTAACTCACAACATTTTAATTTAACAAGAAACGTTTCGAAGATATTTAGTCCCGCATGAAAAAGTTTTAACAAGTTTACCCTGCTTTTGACGTCATCAAAAACTCAGTTAATTAGGTCAATTATAATACCAAGATGGCGGACTGCAGATGTTTTTGGTCAAAATATTTCAAAAACCAAGCAATGTACGAAAAAGATAGAAAGGGTCTTCATATATAACTTTAAAAGTTCTTTCAAATAAGACAACGTTAATTTTTATTGCATATCCCTTTAGCCTAACACGTCATTAACATTACGGCTATAGTGTCCTTTAAATGATGAATAGAAATTTTTGGTGTATAGAAATGCTTCGTGATTGTAGTAGACTGAATAGGACTCAACGTACACAATTTTTTTTGTATAGACTTGTATCTCATTAATTTTGAAACTTGCATTATACACGTGCTTAGATAAATTCGCAAGACGATGATGGTGTATTAATGGGCAATTGGTCGGGAAATTATGAAGGTGGAAACTCACCAACGTTTTGGAATGGCAGTGTGAAAATACTTCAAGAATATTACAAAACAAAAAAGCCTGTTAGATATGGTCAATGTTGGGTATTTTCTGGTGTTTTGACGACAGCTCTCAGAGCGATTGGTATTCCAGCCAGAAGTGTGACTAACTACGATAGCGCACACGACACAGACAACACAATGACTATTGATAAATTTATTGATGAAGAAGGGGAAAGCGTTGAAGGTCTTAATGGTGATAGTATTTGGTGAGTAATCGAATGACAGAATGGTGGGTCCATTATGAATCAAAACGCACCTTAAAAATAAAAGCTGCCCTGTTTTGTTCTTTCTATTCTGAACATTACATATATTGCAACGACTGTTTGTTAAAATCAGAATTTGTGGGCATCTCACTCGATTGAACCAATGTTGCATGCAGGTTTTTTAGGCCTGTTGTAATTAAACGCTAAATTTCGGTCGCGTCGAACGCAATTCAAACAATAAATAATGAAGCCTATATGAGGTTTATCGTCTCATTATCTATTGTCTTCACTGCGTTGGACGTGACGGGCCTAAAATGGAAACTTTTAGTGTGAATTTTATATACATATATTTAGACTTAAAAGGTTACAATTCATGAATATTTAATAAGGCTACAAACAATTTAGGTCACATATGCACTGAGATGTAAATCACATTAAAGATGTGATTGATGACTGTGAGTTATGTTATATGGATGTTTATGAAAGTTATGAATACTAATTCAGAAGTAGGAATGTTTAGCCTATATGAAAGATATCAATACACTAATTCAGATTTTAAATGCATGCAGTGACTGAGCGTGAGATTGTACCTACGGGCAGTAAATACTAATAAAGTATTAAACAAATAAATTCATTTTACAAGTACGTTAAAATATTTGCAACTGATCTTTATGGGAATATAACAATGACTCCCACAGCTAATCATATTTTAAATAGTACTTAAATCATGTGAACGATAATATGTCACACGAAGTGGCATTTCATTAGCCTATATTCTTTATATAAAATCCATCCTATAATTAGTATATTCTTAGCTTAATATATAAGATGGAATCTATTTTAGTTCTGTCAATGATAATGACATGTAAGTCATGACATTTATTAATGCACTTGTAGTCGTGTTTTGTCCTATCTAAAATGTTCGTGCTGCGCACTCGTAAAATATGATAGAACACTCCTACGCGTAATTTAAACAATTACACCAGATCTACAAAATCCTTCAACGTTTTGTCAGTCTTTTTATCAATATCCGTGGTTAATCGATTTGAAGACTGTATTCAACAATTATCCCTTTCAAACTTCTGTCTGATTAATTTAATTAAACTCGTTATGGTCCATCTTTGTACCGAAAAGCGTGAAAAGGTTTCATGTTACTCATGCACATTGACATTGCACATTGTAAAATTAAGCCATTATCTGCAAAGATATAGTACAAACAGAAATTTCGTGCATTGCAACATACACTTGTCTGTAAACATTTTAAATTTTATCTCCAAGGAATTTTCATGTATGGAATGACATCTGGACAAAACGTGATGATCTTCCTGGGAACAAATACGACGGTTGGCAGGCAGTGGATGCGACACCTCAAGAGGAAAGTTCTCAACGCTACCAAATGGGTCCCGCTCCACTGACTGCAGTAAAAGATGGGGAAGTGTATGCTGGGTTTGATGCAGGTTTCGTTTTCTCTGAAGTTAATGCAGATATTGTGACGTGGGTGGTCAAAAAATATAGATATAATGAATATACTATACAAAGTATGTTAATATTTTTCTTTTATATTCTTGATATTTTTATTTTTCCACGCACATAAGTTTGCTGTCCGCCATAATATACATGAAAAAATTTCTGATTAGCAAAGTGGAGTACAATTTTACAGGTAATAATATAGTTTCTCGTGCAATTTAGAAAAACAAAAACTTGTGTGAGAGCTTTATTGGATTCATAATATATTTTACCCAAATCTGATTCGCCAAGGCATAACCTATCGAAGGGAAGATGGCTGTAAAACTGATTAGAATAACACTATAACTCCTTATCTATGTTAGTCAACGTTTATTCATAAATCTGGTCGTTTCACCGTCACGTGTGTATTGTATTTTTACCAAATCCACCAATAGCTATCTCCAGTTTCCCTACTGTTCGAGTCACGGATAGGTGACTTTCTTGAAACATTGCTATTGGTTAGTGGGGCAAGAATACAATACACACGTGACGGTGAAGGACCAGATTTATGAATAAACGTTGACCAACCTATATAGATGAGTTATATTGTTATTCTAATGAGTTTCACGGCCATCTTTCTTTCGATAGGCTATGGCCAAAGGCGGTGCAATTTATCGTAATACAGTAAAAAAATGTATTTCATTATATTGCCAAAAAAGGTAATACCGTGGCAACTACATGGCAAGCACCTGTACGATTCACGTCTCACTTCTGACATTAGAACTTAAAAGATTTGACATCAAGTAAATTACTTACAATTATTTCGCATGTGATGCACGTATGCACGTGACTATGAATTTATTCTGCATAATTTTTACAGTTTTCACAGTGCTCTCGTCTTTTGGATTGGTGCAATTTTTATTGCTTTGCATTTTTCCCTAAATTACACTCAAAACCATACTATTATACCTATTCTTGGCTTGATCATTACGTCACTACGTATCATTGGGCGCCATCTTAGTTGATCTTAAAGTTTAGTTTAACCGTCTACAGTGAAGTAGTCGAGATTACTTAACTATATTTCTGGTTTGTTCTGATAACAGTTTACTGTATTATGGATAGTTTTACGGTTTCTGGCTCAATATGTCAAAATGAAAAAAATAAATTTCATGGTTGCCAAATGTTTTTGAAAAATCAACCAAGGTGGCGTCGATTGCAAACGAACAATAGAAATGAATAATTAATTTACGCCTAATTTAATCTTAGAAACTGCCAAACAATTGAAAAACAGAGTGGGAAACTACCTCAGTACAAAAATGGTTGGCGGTTGGCAGAGAGAAGATGTCACTCATCTTTACAAATATGGCGAGGGAACTAGGGAAGAAAGAAAAGCATTTGAAACTGCCTTTAGTTTTGGCCAAGGGGCTAAAGACTGGGCAGGTCATCTGAATGTTGAGGAGGAAGGCGAAGATTTAGTTCTTGGTATGTTTTAATGGTCACATAAACATTTGTCCCTTATATACCACTTTCTCATCCAAATTGTTCATGCGGATAATGTTAATTTTTAGGTACAAGCATGGTGTATAAAAACAAAATCCATCTTTTACGCCCAATAATTTCAAAATTAAATTCATTATAATATCATATGTAAACAGATATCCTTTTTTTCAAAATTTACATTTTGCACTCGGTACATCAATAAGTGCGTTTACATGAATCAACTTGTATAGATATTTGTTTGCTAGATTTGCTAGTTGCATTTGAACAAATAACTATATGAAAATTACCATGCATAGAACATGTAACTTTTCTTTTTTTATAGAATTGAGCACAAAGGAAGAAGATCTCCGTGTGGGCAAGCCTATCACGTGTGTTATGAATGTGAAGAATAAATCCAAGGAATCTGTAACCGTCAACTTGACTGGTGTTATCAGTTCCATCAGGTACACTGGAGATGTTTGGTCACTTGTCAAGAAGGAGAAGTTTGAAAATGTAGAGATTGGTGGTGGAAGTAGTAAGTTACAAATATTGTAAAAAACCAAAACGTAACTATACCCAAGACATCTAGTTAAAACGCTGACGAAATGAATCGTCTAAATTGTTCCAGTTAGAATTTATTACAACATATCCATGATAAGATCAACTGTAGCTGCAAACCTCAAAAGGGAGTGCATCAGTGCCGTAGCCAGAAAGATAATTGGGGGGGGGGGATATTCATATATTCGTGTTCACATACCATGAAAACAATTGATTTCAAAAGAAATTAATAAAGCGGAACACAAATATATGAATATGTGCCCCCCCCCCAATTATCTTTCTGGCTACGGCACTGGAGTGTATGATTTTGAGATAGTACTTGGAAGCTCTCAGACATTTTGTCAATGATCAGAACTTGCTTAATTAATTGTTGCATACCCTGGAATTCAGCCTTAGTATTGGAATAAATTACTATCACCCACATCACCGTCTGCTCGATCGATCATTCGGTAATAGTATTCTGTGATTTACCGCTATTTCGCCTCTTTCCCTTTTAGCTGTAGTAAAGGAAATAAAATTGGAACCTGATGAGTACATAAGTAATCTAACAGATCTTAATTGTCTAAAGTTTATTTCAATTGCTAAAGTTTTGGAGAACAAGAAATTTTATGTTGATGAAACTAAGTTTCAACTGTTCAACCAGGATTCCATCCAAATCAAGGTCAGTCAATGTTACCTAAATGTTGCGTCACTGCATGTGTTATATCATGCCATCAATATATCGTGTTTTCCAAACACATGCTGAAGGTTTTCAGTAACCAAAGAGGATTAACCAAAACTGTTGCAATGTCCTTGTGGTCGTTGTCGTGTCATTGTTCCTATGTTGTTATTGTTGTTACTATGGCGTTGTCGTTGTTAAGTTGTTGTTGCTTTGAGTTCAGTTATATAATTTTTGGCCAGAGAGTGTCTGTTTATTAATATATTTCATCCTGACAGCGCATCAGCCTCTATTTCTTCAAAATACAACTTGCAGTTACTTCAATGAATAAACCAAATATATAAATGATCATTCAATTATGATATCTGTAAGTGCTAAAATATTGCCCGTTAATTTGGTTATGTAGTTTAACAAGTCGCCACTTCAAGTTGGAGAAGAGACCGAAGTTGAAGTCTCGTTCACAAACCCTCTACCAATAAGGTTGTCTTACATCAAAATCAGTATCGAAGGAGCTGGGTTAGCCTACTTGGATACAAAAACGTACAGGTAAGGTAGTTTAAGTACTAGTTAGAACATAGCCGAAGGCGAGAGTTTGTATATCAGATAAAGATCGGATGCAAATGTTTTAACGTGCTTAAAAAACGACCCATCTTATGAGTTTATTGGCGAAGTAATTTTAAAGATAAACATTGTCTAAGCCGAGAAAATCAAAGCTGAAGTTTATGTAAATCAGGACAAATCTTTATCCGATTTACGAACATTGATAACAAACATTCGTTTCTTTTGTATTTTCCTGATGAATTATTAATGAGTTTTTTAAAATTGTTGGTATCTTAAAACACAGTATAAACCGAATTAAAATCACTTTCGAGATCCTTGAGTTTTGAAAGCGAGCAAGAGGAGGACTAAAAGTTCAAAATAAATGAGAGTACCTCAATTTCATTTTGGAAGTAAATTTTGGAAATGTTCAGAACTGTAATTTCTCTGATATATTTTATATAATATGTACGAGAGCGATATTTGCTACACGCCTATTTCAAGTCATAACTATAATGGACGGTGGATGTTGATTTGTTTTCGTATTAAAGCTTCGTTGGTCCATTATAAGTCATTAGCGTTAGTGCATTAATTCGGCCACGGACAATAAGCCCAGCTTGGCTAGCACAAGGCGGACCACTAACCCTGCACCAAAAACAGGTGTCAGTTGCTTTGTCCAGGTTCACTGGGTTCTTGTATCTAAACATTTCTTCACTATGCTGTTCGTTCCCTCGATCGTTTTCAAATTTCATGATACCTTCGTGTACCCTACTACGCTTTTATCCAGTGTGCCCTATTTGTTGCTAATTTCTCCAAACTATTCACGTATATAATTTATTGCACATTTCTAAGGTTTCAGATTAATTTTTCTTGAATTTTAAATTAATTTTTCTCGGTCATCTGAGAATTCGGTTTAACGTTCTAGACAAATTAAGCCCGTCAAATTAGATGGTGATTCGCGAATTTTCTAATTATATGCGATGATAATTCACCGTCTATAATTTTAAAATATCGAATTTGGCGGGCATTGTTCAGTTGTCGACGTTTCTTATATTGAATTAGTGACCGCGTCAAGATGTCAGAAATAGCTATTGCTATATCAACCTTTTTGCTTGAGGTGATCGCGTATCACGATGTGATTCAGTTTTGTAATTATTGTTAATAATGTTTTTGTAATTTGACACTGACTCGGTTATTTTTCCTGGCCCAAAGTTTTTTACTGCTGTTCGAGCGGGGATTCTACTGTATATATCTCAACGAACCGTAACTATAAAGGCTGGTTTGCAATGTCACAGTTTCGGTCATCATGCTGTAAGAAAGATTGAAAGATTTGTAAAAATCTTCGCAGAAACTGATTCAGTGTTTTACACGGTTTTTAATTAATTGTTTTAAATGATCATTATCATTTTTCCACTTTTAGTAAAAGCCTTGACTATGATAATACACAGACCGCGAAGTTTAAATTTACACCCCGAAAGCCAGGAAAGCGCACATTACTTGTAGATGTGGATACAACACAGGTGAAAGATTTCAAAGCCGCTGCTGATGTTGAAGTTCTGCCTTTGAAAGATTCCGGCGAATGAAAGATTCGTGCAATTGAATAAGACACACATTTTATAATTGTTTTATTGATATTTTTATTAGCAATTAAACTATATAGTATAGACTGAAGTAAATTGTAATAATTAGTATATCTACTGATGTAACACGATGACTGGATAGCTTTTATTGGTAGATAAAATGAAGCCGCGGCCAGTTAAAAAATGATAGTAAAAACACGTCACTCCCAGCGACCAATTGTTATAGTATCAATGTCTCGTTTTCTTTCGAAGCCTTAAAAATTAAAAATGCCATAAAACCACACGTTATTTTGGTGCTGAAGCATGTCAAGCAGCATATATTTCAATTATGATAGGAAGAAAAAAAATGAGTGACAAGCTACAAAGTTTTTCATATATTCCAATTCCACCATGTACAGGTACTTAATTGTTGTAATGACTATTGACACTTCCCGAACTTGCTTGCGGGCACAGCAAACCAGATATAGCTTGAAATCGAGGCTGACGATATATAATCCATGGTAATTGTGGTTTTCAATTCTATAGCCAGTAAATTCGGGAAGTGTTTATCAATCATGAAATCTTACTCAGAGAACTTTGATTGCAGTCTGCGGTTTCCGAGAAATATTGTTTCTTTTCGTGTATATGTTAACTACAAACTGTATAGGCATCTGTTAAAATGTACTTAGGTAGGAAATATTTTGCATTTGTATCATAGTAATTTAGAACAATTTTACTTATTTTATTCTGTAATATTTCTTACGTTTTTCTATTTATTTTCATCCCTTACTCAGTGTGCAAAAAATATAATCAGTTTTTCGTGTCTGTAGTCTCTGTACGTAACGTCTCGTGTTAACAATCCCTAAAAGAGTTTCGTAGTATTGAATGAAAAATAAATTAATGTTTATTGAAGAATGTTTACTGAAGAATAAACATTAATTAATGTTGGGAAAAGTATATGTACCTGCTACAGTCCTCGTCAGACTCGTTAGCCTGCGCGCAGGCTCAACCCGAGTTTATTAAATATCCACCCGGTATTTCATAGATTGGGATCATAGGCTGCACGCAGGATACAGACTCGTGCATTTGTGATACATTTGACTTTGAAAAACTCGTATTTTTCCCCAATTGCATGCACAGTTAAAACTATATGCTATTACCTTTGAGCTATATCTATTGTTTTATTTCAATTTACCAACACGGACTCAAAATTCATTTATTTCGGATATAATTTCATGATATGTTAACGAATTTACAACGATGGTGAAAAGATTTGTTGGTAACAGCATGATGAATTATTAAGCTTCGGACATGCGAGCCGAATCTTTGCTGGATGATAACGCAACGGATGACGTCGCACAATTTGGCTACAAGAAAACCAATACGGCGTGAGCGCAACTTTTTTTATAACGCTTTCCGTTGACTGGTCAATCAGTCAACCAAATCGGCAATCGTTGTGCAAAATTGAATTGTTTGAAATTTTGGTAACTATTCTGGAAGTTTTATGTTGTAGTCGCAGAGCATGCAGGCACACGACCAGTTTTACTCTGGCAACGGCAATGTAATGATCTTACCTGCACCGTATCTGTAACTACATCCGTCAATCCTGGCAAAAACTAATGGAACATCCAATATGATTAACAATTTAATCTATTCTTCCACCTTACAATATTGATTAATTAAAATGATAAGAAGCTTACACATAGTGCTCTCTGCCATCGATGAATTATTGAACACAATTTTTTAGACTCTATGGCCAACATAGTTCAGGGGGAGGGGATTTTGTCTATTTTATTAATTTTTTATAGGTGTTTCATTAACTTTTTGCCAAGATTGTAGATAATATAGGTCGATAGATATATCGATTTTATTAAAAATAGTAGCATAACAGCTATATGCCTGAATTGCACTACTTTAACAAGAGTGATGATTTAAAATACATATTAAAAAAATCGTATAACTGTACAAAAACGTATCGAAAAATTATATTTGTCTAGGGCGTCTTATATAACATCTAACTTATCAATTGTAATAACACTTTCTGCTACACACCATTATAAACCAGTTCGCAAACCGCTGCGTTTTCGCTAGTTGTATTTCAAAAGCTCTTTTCTTTCGTAGAAACTAATTCGTGTTAGCATTATTCATACAAGTTGTTGAGAACCTTGTTTGCACGACTGCTACGAACACGACTATAAAGGCGGATCTCCACTAGACGATGTTTGAGACGATCGAATTCTTATGCAATCCTACTTTTCGTCGAGCGCTAGACGACCGCTCTTCGACTATTTTTTCAATTGCGCATGAGTCGTGGCAAACTGTTTTGACAATCGTCTCAAAAATTGTTTAGTGGAGATCCGCCTTAACGCATTTGTTGACAATTAAGATGTAGGATTGTCACGTGCATCAAGTATAAAATTGTCACTTGACATGCTAGCGTCATGTAATTGCATGCGCAGTTAATTTCTATTCGATACGTCACTAATTCAGTAGCTAATTGCTGGTTTTTGTGCGAGGTTCATTTAAATTACAGGAGTACGTTTTAGAAAGGAAATCGATATTTCTGCGTTTTCATTACTCGACGGCATTTAAAAAATCACATTTCTGCGAAACGGTGTTTGTAAAGTCAAATTAAGGTGGGTATAAATTTGTTGTTTAAGCTATCAGGGTAAGGACCGCAGCCAACTTGGTTGAACAAAGTATAAGAAAGTTTTAAAGACACGATGCTATCATTGAGAAGAGTTTTATTCGAGCCTGTAAGTTTAGAAAGATAAAAATGCAAAATTATACATCAAACTAAAGTCGGCATAAATATTATAAAGTAATGTGAAAAAAAACACAATATTCAGATGAGTGACAATTGATTTTGTCCAGGAAATTACATCTTTAAATTACTGTTTTTCTTCCAGATATCGGAGCGTCTTTGCGGTGAAACGATGGATAAACGTTTAAAAGAAGTTTGCAAACTATTATTCCTGGTAGTTGTGCTACTTTTCGCACTCATCTGGATCCCAATTGCTGCTGTTGTTATAACAACAACGATTCTTGTGGTTGGAGGAATACTAGCAGCGCTCGCTATAGTTACTTTTACAATCTTATCTTTTTTATTGGGAGTAATAGGTCTCCCTGCACTCTTGTTTAGCACAACTGTAACGGCATTTGCGTACATTACTTTTAAAATTTTGAAAACGATTGCTGAGAAAATTCGACGAATTATGAAACCATATATCAAAGGAAAACAAATTCTGGATTTCTTGGATATGTTTTCGTTTGGGACACGATTACGGAAAAACGAAGAAAGCGAAGATAAACTATTACACGTGATGAAGAAAACTATGCCGATGAGAATGAAGTTGGGACGGAGACTTCTAGATCACATATTGAACAGGTAAGTGAATAGAAAATGGTAGAGTAAAGTACTGTGAGTTGGGCATGAAATACGCACATACCGGAGAAGATTAAAAGAACATTTCAATATTTCCAGCCAAGATCCTTCGGCTTTTCAGGCTAATCTCGTCACAAGTTGACACTACTGGTTGACACGCATTATTTAGATACGCAGTGTGTTCAAAATTTAAATGCGTTAAAATGTGTGAGTGACTAAAAACAATTGAGCCAATTGACTTGTAGATGCTCGCAGAAAATTGCGTCTTCTCAGCGCAAAAGAAAATTGAGGGGCAGAGCAAACAGGTCGGTGTTGTTTTCACAGAATTGTGTTGGGGAGGAAATACTAACTCACGGTGAGCGATTTTAACGAACAATCATTGTGTGCTTCAGAAACTGCACGACAACGCACTCGAGCGGATAAAATAATACAGATAATCATGCGTAGTGACAGGTTGCCAGCGCTATGTGGCTAACACACAACGAGGTCGTTAGAGACTGTTACAAATCGGCTCTCCAAAGATACCCTGCAACTTGATTTTAACTACGTCGTAAAGCCCATTTTTCACTAGGCGAATTTGTGCGCGCGAGTGGTAAAAGAGTAAGAACTGATCCAACTTTTTCGCGGCGAATTTTTTCGCTGGCTAATCGCATTGCCAAGATTTGTTTTTCGCTCCGCACGAACAAATTCGCCCAGTGGAAAAAGGACTTATTGCGAGTCGACTTGCGGCCAAGGCTGAATGTGATCTTGCAATGCTGATAGTGGTCATGAATATATATTTGTATTAGCCTACATGATATAACATATATGCGTAGAGAATATTGAAAAATAAGATGGTATTTTCCTTTATATAGAATTTTCAGAACCGCCCATTTTCTTTTCCAATGGCCAGTCCTGGTTTTATTGACGCAGACGAAGTGGAGATTTTTTCGAGAACGTCGAACAACTTTACTCAGTCATCTGTTCCACTGCGCACTTCATCACGCATGACGTCACGACGGAAGACGGCTTTTTGAACTACAGCTACCAATACTTCTCTTAGTTTGCCTTTGAATGTATATAGGTTGGCTAAATTTTGGTTCACATTGTAGTTGCTTTGGTATGGTCTGATGTTATATGAGGCCTTGCTTTTCCTCTGCATTCGACTCCGATGTAAGGACTCCGACTTGGTAAGGCATGATAAGGTTAGTTCTGCGTGGTTAAAAATGGAATTTGCAAAATTAGATTTGATGATAAAATGATCGATGTTAATGTACGAAAGAAAGACACTATAAAAGGGGAACTGATTTCGTGTTCTTTTGGAAAGCTACAAACATTACTTCTTGCTGCCAATAATACAGTATAATTGGGCGTGACGGAGTGAGAGGACTAATTCCGCCCTGCTATAGTTACACCCGGGTATGGTGAAGACATAGGGAAGTGCAAAGTTGTCCTCCATTATGTGATGGACAGTTTTTGACATTCGAGTACAAACTCTAGTTATTAAAAACTTAATTCGATCCGCCAATGTTGATTTCCGACGTATATGACGGGAAGATTAAATATTAAAGAACTCCGCGAGTATTTGCAGTAGAAATACGAAATTACAACTAATTAACTGATCCTATATATTCTGAAATATTCATATAATTTTATTGTTTCTCGCCCCATTTAGAGTGAATTTTTTACCTTGAAACCATAACTGTGGTGAAATTTATGCAAATGACACATTACCAATTTCGCTGTGGCATCGTGCGTTTTCGTGCGTGTTCAACAGCTTGTATCTTTGCTTCTTTTCAACGTACAATAAAGACAAATATACTAAACGAATCGCCATCTTGAATTCTATAGCCCGGAGCAGCCTCGGGAAATTGCAAAATAATCTATGCCTATTATGGCGATTCTCCTGGTCGGAAAGTGTTCGGCCAATTTCGGACGCCAAATTTCTGGTAAAGCATTAGAGTTTCCTGGTAAAAGTCTGCAGAAATCACTTCTGGAGTGTTTTTAACCCTAGATACCCTTAGGCAGAAAAACAAACCTCGTATGGCAATTTTCCAGATTGAAAATATCGCGCACGAGCGTTGTAATGTATTGTCACATTGTAAGAATGGCATTTTTCAATTAAAAATTGTCAAGAAGTTTGTTGACCTTAATTTCCAAACAGATAGTGCTAGTAACGATGGAATGTCTTCGTACAAAGAAGAATATCTCAACCTGGTATTGGGAGTTGTGTCTGCAGTTTCAAGGCAAGTATTTTGATCATTTTTAGACATTCTGTTTCAGTGTTTTGCCTTTGCCATGACATTGTAAATCATTTGCATTTAGTAGCGTCACTAGTATCACAGAGTAGAGACATACAGAGACGTAACTAGTGTACCCACTTTTTTGTGCGCATACTCGGCAAGTTATAAGATGCATGCATCTGATTGGATGACGACCTGATGACGACTCACTTTAAACTTGCTGAGCACGCGCAGTTGATCACTTTTCGCCCGGTCGCCTGAAAAAAAGTGGGTACGTGATATT